TATTAGGGGAACGTGGCAAGGTAGCAAGGTAGCATCGTCTACCCATCAATCCAAACAAGAGACAATCCTCCCACAGAAGGAAAAAAAGTAGGAAATATGCTGGAAATGGAAATTAAAGAGCCAAATCTAATGTTTACACTTACCAATAGTATAATCAAGAGCACTGGGGGGTTGTATCCAACAAATGATGTGTGTTTTCAGTGGTGTCTAAAGGGTCTGAGGGCTCTCCAGGCTCATTGCTATTCCCAGATTCTTTTTTTTTGCTCTCCTGAGTACTCATGGTGCATTCTGGTATTATCGACTTTTATGGAAATCCTTTATTCCAGAGCCTTATGACCCAAATACCAACACAATTAGTTTTAATTTTACTGGGTTCATACCTATCCTTGCAGCCTCTGCAGTCCCCACTCTGGGGCCCACTGATATAAATATTGCCTATGGCCTGTCAGGTAGAACATCATGTTAATATAAGCAGTGCCTTGAGGTTTAACTTGGCAGTGCCAGCTGTGTCTACACTTGGCCTAGTTTTAACCTCCTCTCGTATCAAACAGCACTTTGAAAGAGGTTCTCTTGTAATGGCATTGACTTAAGTATATAAAAAGCTATATGGGAGCTTGGAGTATGCAAGGATTGTTTCTCCAAAAAATCAGGATTACCCTGACATGAGCCCCATAACCTGTCATACACATTATTAGCGCCAGCTGGTGCGTGTGTTCCCTGGGCAGTGTTGGAGGCACGTGGCCCTGATGGGGTGAAACACAGGAAGGGCTGAGGGCTGTTGTTCAGGTGGGTCAGCACATCCCAAAACAACTCCTGCCTTTGCCCAGGATTCCACCATCTCTTTGTGTCTCAGCTCTCTATGAAATGCAGAGGAAAAGAAGTAAATTGGCTGAAATAATCTGAACAAAACCATCAAAGAAAGATGGATCTGAACTCCTCTGGAGGCCTTAGCAACACCAGAGCTGGTTATGAGAAGGAGCAGCAACTTTTTTCTGCCTCTCCTGGAGAGATCGGAGAAGGGGACAGAGGGATACCCTCACCAAGGGCCACCACACAGCCACGGGGCTGTGACTCAGCACAACCCCAGAGGGGATAGAAGAGATGAAGTGAGGAGGAAAACACCAGGCAAGTGCTTATTTTTTGTACTGCAGCAGATCCCCGGGGTCCCGTGTGAGTCAGCAGCAGCGGCACTGTACCCATCAGTGTCCCGGTGCTCTGAGTCACTCTGAGCCCCAGACGGCCCCAGAGAAGGGATAGGGGGATGAAAACCCCTCCCGAGCATCCCTCCTGTGCTCAGTCAAACCAGCCACTGAGCACTTGCTGTGGTTTTCTAACACATGACACGTTGCCCCCCTGCCTGTGCTGACCCAGCGTGGGTGTTCCGAGACATTGGTCCTGGAGAAGGGCTGTCTCCCAGGATACATACAGGGTAAAATAAAATACTCAGTGTGACCTAACACAATTTATCTTCCACATCCAGTTTAGTCTGAAAATCGAGGCTGGCACAGTTAAAATTTTCTTTTGCGCAATGAAGAAGATGTCACTCAAAACTGATGCTTCCTTCTGCGGGACTTCCTGCAGGATAAATAAACCAGAGCTTGTCCCTTGCCGCTCTTCCTTCCTCTCCCCTTCTTCCTTGGGATGCAGTTAAAACAGGCAGAGAATTATAAGGCAAAATAGAAAGGCACAGGATGCAATAATCCAGGGCTTAATACACATTTAAATTGGTAGTTTGATTCAGAAGGAAAATTAAGACATATATTGGTGGAAGGATCCCCCCCACAGCACACCAGGGTCTCCTTTCTGGGGCCCCCTCTCCGATTCCCAGTCCTGAGGTTTGGCACCTCATTTGCTCAAATATGGGAAATATCAGAAGCTCATGGAGCAGCTCTGCTCCTATTAAAACCTCATTGAATTAATTAGAAGTGAGGGATGGGTCTGGGTCCTTTTTTAGTTCAAAAAATAAAGGCAGGAAATCTCTGACCTCACAAACACCATCCTAGACAGTCACCTCATCACACACTGGGTTGAATCCTTCCCCTACAGTGCTCAGTTCCAGCAAGCTGACCTGATCCATTTTATTCCATCTAAAAAACCCTGTGTCAAGCTTTTGATGATGCAGAGCATATCCAAGGAGCTGATAACAACAATAAAAAAATCATTTTGGCAGCCACTTTGCCCAGCATCTGTTTTACAGCTCTTCCATTTTGATAGGTATGTGCTCAGGGAGGAACAGAACAGCAGCAAAAGGCCCCAGGTATGTGGGAGAAAAGGAGACCTTTATTCTATATTAGATTAAAGCTAACACATTTCCACATTTCATATTGCTCCCTGGGGAGGGAACCCAAGAGGGCAGGATTGCCACCCTAAATCTGCTTGATCCCTTGTATACTATGGAAACATGAGGATTAAGGGCAACAAATACAGGTCAGGTTCTCCTAATCTGCGTGGCACAGACCTGCACAGCGTGTTACCCAGCTGGGAACTTCCAAATCAGACCTTAAGTGTCTCCAGTGCACTTTGCTACATGTTTAATAGAGTTTTAATTGCGGAGTGATTGGATTTGATATTACAGAATTACCACAGATTACTTAATTGCTGAGGTTAAGCAGATAGTTCTCTCAGTATGTGTTTTTGCTGCTATAGATCTCTGCCTCCATATTATTTGAGCAACAGAAGCAAAGATCGTTAACCAGGAGAGAAAACAACTTTCATTTAACGTGTTGGTAAATTTAAGAGGCAGATGTGTGAGAGTCTTAAAACTGGCTGTAGAAAGAATCCGGATCCTGCCGTTCCTAAAGAGCTGCACGCAGGGGTGAGCAGCTGAGAAGTGCCAGTGCATGGAGATTTCTGCAAAAATTACGATGTGCCTGAGTGAACCTGTGTTTGGAGCCATTTGGGAAGCTGCTTTCACAGCCTGAGAACGCAGCTAATCCCGTGCAGGCGCTGGAAAAGCAGATGGGCTGGAGATGTGATGTTGGCTCATTCCTGTTGTCCCGAGGCTGATGGATGGAGGAGGAGAGGCTGGAGAGTGTTGCTTCTCCTGTGGCCTCTGGGAGGGACCTCCTGGAGAATCATGGGGGGACTGCTCCATCCAGGGCAAACCAAAGGTCCATTCAACAGAGAAATTAATTCCTGGAGCTGGTCAAAAGCAGGTGCTCAGAAGTGTGGAAGAGCAAGGCAAGTATCCATGCTCCCAATCGAGCTTCCCAGTGGACCTCCTCAGCTCTCCTGTGCCACACATCATGTAGGGCCTCACCCATCAGTCCCATCAAGGCTCCTCAGGGAAGGATCAGACACAGGTCAAATTCATTCACTTGATGGCATCTGAGGAGCTGCAGGCTGTCTAATGATGAATTACATCTGTGATCACTGTGACCATAGAGCAGCCAAAAACACTCAGTTTGAAAAAATTAATTCTCTTGGACAAGGAAATAAAAACAGACCCTTCTTTCCAAAACACGTCCCTTCACTTGCCTAAATCTTTATTGAATAAATGGCTTTTGCAGCATTCCTGGAAGATGCTGTCACACATCCTGCAGGCTGGTGCTAAAGGAATAGAACCCTCTCCATTGTAAGTTATGTGTTTAATAAGAGAGGGAGCACATGGCATTGAAGTAGGGCTGTGATTATGGAGCCAGGCACCAGGAATTATTTAATTTCTGTACAAATTAAGCAGTGACTCGACTAATGATGACACCCACAAAAATGGGGCACAGACTCTTCCCTCCTCACTCCACTGCTAAAGCCTTCCCTGTATCTCTTGGCTGATGGGGAGATGTGACCACAACCAGACTCGTTCCTCCTGGACCACACTCTTCGAGGGAAGCACAGTTTCTGCACATCTCCTCCATGAACTATGGCACAGTCCCTGGGGGATGACAGCATCTGGATTGGTGACATATCCACATAAATATTTTCAATCCCAAGGTAGAATGAAAAGCAGCCTTTGGCTCCACATTCCATATCTACGTTGCACTTCTGGTTCCTCACTCTCTAGGAGAGCTTTGCTGCTTCCCAGGACATTACAGGTCACAAAGAGGACAAGAGTTATGCAGCCCTTGCTGTCTGCAGAGCAAATTTGGGACAAAAAATTGCCTTAATTATTTTATTTTCTTCTTGCCTTTTATTGTGTTATGTTTTAACTGAAATTTCTTTATTTCCTGCTAGGATTGTGCCAGAATCCTGCTGTTCCATACAGAGGTTGAAATGTATATTAAAAAGAGAAACAAATCTTTCTCTTGATTGCCTGATATATCTCCTTTTTAATTCAGACTGACAAATGCACTCTATCAGCAGCACTTCTACCCTTCAGATTTGTTGCATTTTGTTTGCATTCTTTGACATCCCTCAGCTAGAATCTGGAAAGTTAAAAAAACACAGTGTCTTTCTCTGCTTACCCTTTCATGAATCATTTTTATTATGGCAAAGTCCAGACCCAAAACATGTTGTAATCTCAGGTATTGCACAAACGTAGAACAAAAGGACGAGCCCTGCCACCAGAAAGAGCTCCAGAGGCTGTTTAATGATCCTCAGCACCGTGGGGACTGCAGCCAGTGGCTCCATGAAACAGGCTAATGGGATTATCATGTCCCTGGCTCCCTGTCTACCTGGATGAAAAACACACACTAACTGTCTCTGAGAGTACTTTGGACAAGATACCCGGTGTCACAAGGGCATGAAACACAGGGGACAGATGTGAATGGTTTCATTTAAGCTGGTGTCTGAACCAGGCATCGGCAGTCCTTCATCTGCACCTTCCACTGTTCACAACGTCGCTGCCCTGGTGCCTTTGCTGTTTTCTATTACTTCTGTTATGTTTGTTTTTGCAGGCTGGTTGTCCCTCAGGGTTATTAAATTCTTTGCACAACGGCAACAGGAGAACAACCGGGGCTTTAGGAAAGCAGTTTACAGCAATAAACCCCACACAGACAGGTCCCTTTTTCATCCTGATGATAAATTGCTCACAAAATAAGGGCCTTTTTTTCCATGCCTTGCAGGTGCTGTGGTGATCGCCTTCGTGGTCTGCTGGCTCCCTTACCACGTACGGCGCCTCATGTTCTGCTACGTGCCCTCCAGCCACTGGACAGAGTGAGTGACAATGTGGGGGACAAGGTCCCCACACGCCAGGATGGGGTAGGGGGGTCACGCTGGAGCTTTTGGGGCACCCACAGACGTGGAGGTGGAGGAGGAGATCTGGGAGCAAAGGCGTTCTCTGTGCCAGGGGTTGAAGCCTCAAACCCCTCACTGCTGTTTTGTTGTTTTAATTTTGCATCTCTCAGTGTTTACCAGCCAGATTAAGACTCTTAGTCTTACCATGTCAATCCCCCCAGACATGGGTGAAGGAATCACTAGCTTGAACCAAAACGCATCAACAGCCCCTCCTCCTCCTCCTGTGGGCTGCAACCACAGGCTCACCCCTGCTGGACACAGCGAGGGGTGTTCACCCCTGACAGCCCTTGATGAAATGGCATTTGGACAGGGGGGTTTGCACATCCCGAGTGGATTTCTGTCTCCGTGCTGGAGATATCGATCCCCGGCCCTAAGATGGATCATCTCCCATCAACACATGATTTAACTCCATGAAGCCACGTTTCCTCAGTGACGGGAGAGATCACAGAGGTGGGGGAATAACTGCGCTGCTTGCTGAGGCTGGGGCAGGTTATTTACTGCGTTTTGCAGGGAGTGGATCAGAATTAAATACCAGCAGATGCCTCTGATTAGGAAATGCACAGATTGTCAGAGAATTCTGGGATATTTGCACGCCTGTGCTGAACACATGTGTGCTGCTCACGTGTGCAAAGGGCACCCCAGGAGCTCCCTTCCTGCAACACCAGGCCAAGTTCCTCAGCAAAGCAACCACCAAACTGGTTATTCTTTTAAAATATGCACTTTAATACTGTCTCAGGCCACACACCCAGGTAGGCTGAGGTGCCATGGGATGCACTCGTGTGTCTCCTGCCATGATGTTACATCACTATTCTCCCTGGGACCGGGTCTGTTTCCTTCAATGAACAGGAAAAGGAAAAATAATCTGCAATGTTAAAAGCAGAGCAACTATGAGATATCAAAATTTCACAAACTCCCACTACAAAAAATATTTGTTGAGGATACAACAGTCTACTGAATGGAACTGCACATCCATCCGTAGTAAAACCCAAAATCTATCTTCAGTCATGAAAACAGAGCTCTAGGCACTTACTGGGACAAACTGTTGTTTCTCCTTTGCTTTCCTATATGAAAAGCACTTAAAGCAGCGTTCAATTATGTAATGACTGCATTTGCTTTGAGCAAGAGGGGTAGAGAAGTCTGTCTGCAGTTAGTGTGAATTTATGCATCATGGTTGCATCCCCATATTATTTTCTTTCTCTTTTTAAAAAGCCAAGGGCAATTTTAGGAAAACGTTGAATTTCCAGGCATGTTATGAACGGTGAACTATCAGTCTGGTGGCTAATTGAGAGTTTGCAGCAGCTTGACATATTCATTTATAAATGGATGTGCCTTGCCCCTGAAAAAAAGGAATTTTTCCTATATTAATTCTTCACAACTACATAGAGAAGCTCTGCTTGTAAGAGCTGGATGAGCCATGTGGTCCTTGGCAGTGCCAAGGGGGTGTGGAGGGATGGGTGATGAAGTCCAGCACATGTCTATTTATCTTCTGGTAGACACTGCTCAGGCTAGCTCAAAGGTCTGCAATTTCCACCAAGATAAATGATTCTGAGGAACATCTTCCTGAAAATGAGACCCACGCTGTTTGTAAATGCTTTGCCAGCTCAGGGCTGTTGATCTCACTTGGAAAGTGAGATCTCCTAGGAAAGATATTTCCAAAAGCAAAAAAAAAAAGGTAATAAAGCATTTTCAATCCGTTCTAGTTGAAAACATCAAACTGTGGTGGTCAGGATGTGTTTCAAAAGGATGCTATCATCAACTTGCCCCCAGAACAGGGAATGCTATCCCAGATTACAGACAAATCCCAACCCAGGGACCCACCGAATGTGCTGATGTTGCTTTCATTGCCAGGGGGAGGAGAGAGCTGCATCTGTCACCAGGGTTTGGCTCTTCTACAAGCTCTGTAGACCAGAACTGCAGCCAAAAAAGTCAAGTTAATGTATATGTATGACACAGAAACAAATTTCCATCTGGCTTCTCAGTTTCCAGAATGTCTATTTTCAAAGACAAAATGAACACTTGAGGTAAATGTTATCTTTGCCCCCCAGGGCAGTTATTTTCTAACTAGTAGTGATTGGGGTAATATCTTCATAGGGACATTTGATCTATGTTTGGCCAGTTCCAGTTCAAGATATAGATTCTTTTTGGTGGCTTATGCACCACTGGTAAGCTCACGTGCCCAGCCTAGAAAGGTTGGTTGAAAAGCAACTTATGTTTTTCTCACCCTTGTACCTTTGAATTTTTTCAGTTCTCCACACTCAGAATTTATCTTTCATCTGTTCTTCCAGTTTCCTTTTCAACTTCTACCACTACTTCTACATGCTGACAAACGTCCTCTTCTACGTCAGCTCAGCAATCAACCCCATCCTCTACAACCTGGTGTCGGCAAACTTCCGTCAGATCTTCCTCTCTACGCTCACACTTGTGTGCCTGCCATGGAGGAAGAAGAAGAAACGACTGGCCTTCACCAGGAAATCCAACAGTATCTCCAGCAACCACACATTTTCCAGCCAGGTCACAAGGGAGACCACATATTGAAGCCTGGGGAGGAAGGGAAATGCAACTCATCGTGGAGTCAAAACTGGAGAGAGGCCTCTGTGACTCTCGTGCATGGTCTCCAAATTCACGTAACACAAATGTGTTTAGCAAAGTCATTTCTGTTGGAAAAAATAGGCTTTGTTCTGCCAGTAACTTTGAGGTTATTTTAAAGCATTGGCCTTGCCTCTTGTGAGTGATGTCTACACATATTGTAACTTCAGTCTGGCATAAATCCAGATGTGGTGTTAACTGGGAAGCCAAAATATGTTAAACTTAGGCAAAACCGTACTGCATTTCATCCTTTTCTCAGTGCAGAGATGCCGTGTTCACAGCCAAGGGTTTGAGATCACATCTCTTGGTGGCACCGAGCGGAGAACCCGATGAGGAGAAAGCAGTTTTGAACAGAAAGGGATGTTTTTGGAGAATGGACATGCTCATCTATGGGATGTTCAGTGGACAAGGAGTGAAAGCTCAGGGAGCCAGGTGGTTATTTTAGAAATATATCTACATTATGAGTAACATGACTAAGGTGCTCAGGAGAGCCACTCTGGCTCCTTGAAATCAAATAAGAACAGATGATGCCTTACCTAGGCTAGGGTGGCTGTGGCCTGGGGGAATGGGTGGCACCTTTGACTTTAGGGCATCCATAGTGCCTGGCACAGCACACCCCCTCTCTTGCTGGTTTTGGTACCACAACACCAATAAATAGCAGAGTCTCTGGCAAGATCAAAAATGCAGAGCCTGTGCCCAGCTGGAGTGCTGAAAATGAATAGAAATGGAAAATCTTATTCTTTTCATACAGTTAAATCCTGTTTTTTACTATAGAGAACAGTTTGCTGGTCTGCATTAAGAGATGAGAAAACTTCATGAGGGCTCCGGGCTGCTGAGGTAAGAGTAATCTGCTCCAATTCTGAGACCTTCAGATTTTTCCCATTCTTATTCCAGTTTTGCCTGTTTCCTCACCATTTTTGAAAGACTGATGTCTCATAGGTTGTAGAAGCTGTAGGCAGCAGGGCTTGTTGTTCTACCTTTTCTGTTTTTTTCTTTTTACTGCCAGACCTGTTGGTACACTGATCTGTGCCCCAAATCTTCAGGTAGTGCAAATGGCAAACACAGGACAGTCTAAACTGAGGAGTCTTAGCTCTAAATCAACTTTCTTTTAACAAACCTGAAGAACAAGAAATTTCTCAGTTCAGGATAGGTGGCGTGAGCTTTTCTCCCATATATTTCCACCTCTAACAGCCCTCTAACTGTGTGATACAGCAAATTGCTCCAGAGTCTTTAGTACCAGAAATCACGGGACTCTGGACAAGGCTTTCCCTGCTGTCACATCACCAGATGTGCACAAACCCAGAACCAACCAATCATCCTGTGCAACCTTTGCTGTTGGTGACCCCATGTCCCCTTTCACACCACATTCCATTAGGAGAGCAGGGCTTGTCTCTTTATGATGACAAAGTAGAAGAGTCATATTCTGCTTTCTGGGCTTTGCCCATCCCATTTCACTCTTCTGCTAACTATCACCTCTGGTACCTAACAGAAATCTCAGTGTTGGAGTTGTGGATCTGGCCCCATGAACTGCCACAAAATGATGGAGACCAGTTACTGAACCACTGGTTCAGTACAGTTCAAACACTGCTGGGGACTTCTCCTACAGATGTCGTATCACAGAATCATAAACCTTGCTAAGTGGGAAGGGACTCACAAGGACCATTGAGCCCAGCTCCCTGGAGCTGTGGTTTAGGTCCTGTTGGGCTCAGGACAGGGAGAAAACACCCATGGGGCATTCGCTGTGAGTTATTGGTGATGACTGACTACTTCTGAGGCATTTATAACCTGGCAGTTGTACAGAGCTACCATGGTAGACCGTCAACTGACCTCCAACCACACCAGCCAGGGATGGGAGATGATTTTAATGCCTAGTACAGAATCACTCCAAAAGAAAGGGCTCAAAATAAAAATCAGTGGGGCTTTAGTTTCTTCTGATTCAATCAAACTGCAAGCTCTGTTTTGTCATGCCTTCAGTTGATTTCTTGCACTGGTTGTACCAAACAGAGGGCAGAGATTATATATGACAAAGCACTTTTGTTGCTTATGGACTATTGACTCCTCTTTGACAAGGAGAACAGGTAGTGGGACACAAATAAATAAATTACTAAAAAAGGGGAGGAGTCTTCCTTGAGAGGAAGAGGAGTCAATGTCACACCCTTAACATTGGCCTTCCAGGCAAGACACTTCAAATGTTTCTGGACAGAACCCAAATTTTTTAACTTCACCTCTAAATAGAGTCAACGTCTGGGAGGTGGTTTCTGAAACCTCCCACAGAAGCTGGAACTGTGTGTTGCTTTGACTTTCATTACAGTTTAACACCCTGCATGCCTCAGTTGCTTTTGAAATGTTAAATATTATTTACTAGACTTGTTCAACACCAACCTGCTGATGTGCTTGATTATCTTAGAAAGCACTGTACAAAAGTTGTTGTTTCACATAGATTTTCATTACTAAGATACACTGGCAGCTTACAGAATATTTGATCACAGCTCAGAGAAACTGGTAAGTTTATTTTTGGTTTGACAAGACAGTGGGAAAAAGCTGGATTAAAAATGTGCTTATGATAAACTCTTTAACTGTTGTTGGGCCACTCAAGTGTTGAAGATCTGGGGGAATTTAGGGGATTTATCCAAGTGGTTTGCTGACTTCCACAGCTCTGTTCCCTCAGTTTAACAGGAAAGCAGACCTGGGTCCAAGGCCTTAATCTGAGATTGCAGCTCAAAGCTACCTCTTCCACTGGCCAAATCTGACCACCTTGAGCTGAGAAGTGTAAGTCACAGCTGATTTCATTCTCCCTCCCCTCCTCATCTAGTTTTGGTATCTCTTACTTAGAGCTGTGGTTCCCTTGAGCTCAAAGAAGTGAGGATAACTCACTGCAAACCCCCATGGTTTTCACAGAACCACAGAGTGGTTTGGGTTAGAAGGGACCTTAAAGACCATCCAGTTCCAACCCCCTGCCGTGAGCAGGGACACCTTCCACTAGACCAGGTTGCTCAGAGCCCCATCCATTTCCTTGTAAAGGAAAGCACGGTATTGTAGAGAAGAAAGCAGCACAAACTGCCCAATGTGTACCAGAAAAATGGTTCTTTACATGCCTTTTAACAGTGACTGAACTACTAACCCAGCAAGGTTTAGCTTTAAACCTACTGGGATGGGAGTGGCTTTTGCCATTAGTCAGAACACCAACTCACATCCACTGTGTTCTTGTCTGGGCTGAACTCTTCACCAGGGCAGAGAGGAGAGCATTGGGGTGGCACACTGTTCATCTATGCAAATTTCCTGTAAGGGTTTTGAACTGGGTTCTTTTGACTAAAAAAAAAGAATAAAATCTGTTGAACCCACAGATGTGAAATGCTGCCAGATGGATCTTGAGAAATTCTCCTCCGAAGAGAGTCTATCAAGTGACCTCTTCAGATGTTATTTTGAGGTTTTGTTTCTCTTCACAGTGCTCTTGCCGGGGCCATCCATTTGGCAGAGTGTGAAATCAGGTTTATAAAGTCATTTTGCTACTCAGAAATTTCCCCCAGACAGGACTTTCTCACCACAGGCCCAGTACATCAGTGTTGGAATGCTCTGCTGAGCTTGTCTTTTCTTGTAAAGTGTGTGAGACCTCACTTCAGCGAGTGTTTCAGGAGAGAACTGAATGGAAAATGGGTGAGGAGGGTTAGCAGGACACATGCTGTAGACGTGACAATAGCAGGGTCTTTGCATTTGTAGCATCCAGCATTCAGTGAAATAAGCTCCAAGATGTGCTGCTACTGCTGCAGACAGCTCCTGTTGCAGATTTGAACCCATCATCTGTGCAGCTGCATCGCTCCTGCCCACAGGGCGTGGGAGCACTGGTGCTTCCCTGTGCAATGCCATGAGTGTCAGTCTGGTGTCCTCCTGGCTGTGTCGTTTGGTAGCTGTTTAACCAAAGCTGTATCTGCTAGAGCTCTGTCTGGTTTTTTTTTCACATTCCAGCTCAATCAGTTCTTCTGTTCTTGGTCTGGATTCGTTCAGTATGAAAACAGAAATTGCTAATCCAAAATTTCATGATGCTGTGTCCCGGCTTTGTGATCCAGAGTCCTCCCCCAGCCATGCCACCTGATAGTCCTGCACATATTGTATTTATGGCAAATATTTTTTAAAGTGCACCTTTTTTTTTTTTCTTCTGAGATACAAAATGTTGATATGCTTTATTTTCTGTGGCCTGTTGCTCAATGGAGAATAAATGAATGTTAAAGTGTGTCAGTGTCTCCTTTGTAATGTTTTCTGTGACAAAGGGAAGGAAGAGGGTGTGAAATCCTTTTGTGTAGCAATGGGAAACACTCTTTCAATGTAACATGCTGTTGTTGATACTGTATTTACTGATCAAAGTGTAATGAAATGGTTAATTCCTGATATAGCCTTTGTACTGTATGGTATTTTATTTTATTTTGTTATTCATTGATCCTATGAAATAAATATCCAAATTTAAGGCTTGGACTGCTTATACTTAAAGGGACAGATGTGCCTTTATCATACATCCTGTTTGCCACTACAGGCACCCTGGCTGGGGTTTAAACTGGTGAAATCCCCCAGGCCTTGAATTGGACTTTGCATCTCCACTACAGAAAGGCCTTGAGTGCTCCTACCCCTTCACACACTGACTATCCAGCCCAAACAGCATCCAAACATCAGTGTCTTCAGGCTGGCAAACAAATGAGGGAAAATAGCTAGGTTTGAAGGAGAATCCCATCGGTGATGTTTGCCCTGAAAAAATCCTTCCTGAGATCTGGAAAAAGCAAAGGATCTGTTCTGCCCTGCTCAGCTGATGGGCACAGCAACAAGAAGTAGGTTTATTCTGTCTTAACAGTAAAATTTCCCTTCCTACCTTCCCATCTTTAGCATGATCTGCTTCCTCCTCGGCACTTATTTTTCTGACGCAGAAGTAATTCTGTCTGAACAGAATACTTGGGTATTGCCCACAATATTAAAGTGCCCTTACACTAAATGAGCAAAAATCAGTCACCTCCATCCTCCCTGCAGCTCCTGGTTAATGTTCTGCTGAGAAATAGCTCAGCTGAGCTGTAAAATCTTCATAGGTTTTAGCCATTCAACCCTTGTGTTTTGATTTCTGGTGGAGGCAAAGTTTTCTTGGAGAGCAGCAACAAAATAAAATTTAAATATTTGGAATCGTTCATGCCTGGAAAATTCATCTTCTAAAACCTAGCTCAAATGCACTGCCTCTCTGAAGGCTTTTTGGTGCTGCATCCAGATGAGAAGAACAGAAGCCTCTATTGTCCCCACATGATCAAGTACTAAAAAAATCTAATCATTTATTTTATGGATCCTTTTATTTGGTCTGCTATGCTAAAAGGTTTATTTTTCAGTTAGCTGCCTAAGGAGCTGCAGCTCGTGTCTTCAGCAGTGAAAACCCCCAGCACATGGCAGCGTCCTTGTTTTCTGGCTGCAGGAGATTTCTGTGCTGGGCATGGTGCTCCCAGTGGAGCCTCCACAGCTTATGCAGAAATCCAGACCGTGTTTGAGCTGGATGAACAATGTTGCCTTCTGCTCATGACTTCTCTAACTCAGGGCTGACTTCCTTGAAAAAGCCAAACTCCTGGGAAGTTTGGGCAGAGATCCTCACTCCTCCCAAGCCACCCCCACACCTGCACCACATCAGGCCCCACCAGTGCAAAGGAAAACAAAAGCTGGGGAGAGTCAGATAATTCTTGGTTTTTTTTTTTTTCTTTGAGAAAGGCACAAGGACTGTGCCTCCAGCGATGAGGAATGCTTTCCATTTGGCCCTTATTTCTCATTTCAATTATAAAAGTAATTTCCATAGTTCACAGGGGGAAAATTTCAGGCACCTTTCGAAACAAATGTTTCATTTCAGTAAATGTCTTCATAAAACTTAATAAACATCCATCCAGAAGTTAATTTATTTAAAACGTCTTTAAATCCTGCTCTGCCTTATTGAATTTGTTTGAACTGTAGATCAGCTTGGAGTATATTCATGAGGGTATTTAAGCAATAAGGCAGCGCATCACGGTTGTTATTCCAGGTCTCCTGTGGGCTGGCAAGTACAAAGTACAGATCACATGAGGTGATTTGGGGCACTCAAGTGCAAAACCACTCCAGAAGCACACGGGTACGGGCACGGCCCTGAGCGCTGCGGGGTGGCCAAACCAAGCTGCTGGGGTTGTTTTCTGGGAACAAAGTCATGCCAGGGGAGCACAGAGCAGCCAGCTCATCCTTCATCGACTGCCAGCCCAGTCCTGGGCTCACTCAGGCAAATGGGAAAGAACTGTAGAGTTACAGAATCACAGAATGGTTTGGCTTGGAAGGACATGGGCAGGGACGCCTCCAATCCCTGTCTAACCTGGCCTTGGACACTTCCAGGGATGGGGCAGCCACAGCTTCTCTGGGCAACCAGGGCCAGGGCCTCTCCACCCTCACAGGGAAGAATTTCTTCCTAACATCTCATCTAAGCAGAGAAGCAGCTAAATGTAGTTAAACATCATGTCACTGGTGATACAAACCAGCCAAGCCAGCCAGGACTTTCAAGAAAGAGGAAGAGAAAGGCCAAACATTTATAATGAGTATATGCAGATGTGTGGATGTTGTATCCACACCTGTGATGATATTTTGCCCATCTCTGAAATATTTAAGTTTCATTTAATTTTTTTTTTACTCTTCCCACTTGTTTTCCTTTCACTAAGTCTGTATTCAAGAATTAATAATTATGTTTTCTGTCTATTAACTGCAGTCCCTGGTGGGCTCAGCTGACCTGTCCTAAACTCTCTGTAACCATCCTTTGACAGGCTGAGAGAATTGGGGTTGTTCAACCTGGAGAAGAGAAGGCTCCAGGGAGACCTTAGAACCCCTTTCAGTGCCTAAAGGGGTTCCAAGGGATTTTTTACAAGGGTATGGAGTGACAGGACAAGGGGGGATGGCTTTAAACTGAGAGAGGGTAGATTTAGATCTCGCCAGCACCGTAACATTTCACGAACACAATCCAGATGTAGTAGCCATTGTCATCAAGATTTAATAGCATTAGCACACTGCTAACAACCCAGCACACTCCATACCTTTGCCACTGTGAGGGTGCTCTTGTTTTAGGGACAGGCTTCAGGCAAA